AGCAGGAGCAACAGCGGCAGCAGCAACAGCTGCAGCTGCTGCAGCTACAGGAGCAGCAGCTGCAGGAACTGGAGGAGCAGCGGGCAAAGCAGCACGCGCAGGAACAGAAGCTTTTGGAGGAGCTGCAGCAAATGCAGGAGCAGCTGCAGCGGGATCAGTTGCTGCTGCAGGAATTGAAGCAGCAGCAGCAGCTGCTGGAGGAAATGCAGAGGCGGCAGCTGCAGCAGGAATTGCAGGATACGAGTTTGCTGCAGGCGCTGCAGCACATGCAGGGGTCACAGGAGCAGCTGCAGTCGGAGCAGCAGCAGCAGCAGCTGCTGCAACAGGAGCTGCAGGAACAACTCTCGCAGCCACAGATGCAGATGCAGGTGCAGCAGCAGCAGGTGCAGCAGCAGCAGGTGCAGCAGCAGCAGGTGCAGGAGCAGCATGTGCAGGAGCAGCAGGCGCAGCAGCAGCAGCAGAGGGATTCCCCCCGCGGCAGCTGAGGGGATCTTCAGCAGCAGAAAGAAGGTGAAGCTGCTGCAGGAGCTGCTGCAGCTTCTCTGAGAAAAGCTGCTGCTGCTGCAGCTGAAGTTGGACAGAAGTAGGAAAGAGAAAAAGGAAAAGTGCTTGAATTAAATGGAATTGTTTAAATTTGAATTAAATAGAATTCTTCAAATTTGAATTAAATGGAATTCTTTAGATTTGAATTAAACGGAATTCAAAGATGAATTAGACGGACGAGAACAGCCGGAGGAGAGCTGCGGGCAGCAGGGATGCAGCAGCAGCAGCAGCAGCAGCAAAGGGTGAGTTTGCTGCTGGGGAGGCTCGGAGAAAGCAGAGGCAGCAGGAGCAGCAGCAGCAAAGGGTGAATTTGCTGCTGAAGAGATGCTCCGGGAAAGAAGCTGCTGCAGCAAACCAGAAAGTTGAATTGTGCAGATTGTTCAAGTTTCTCCGTGCATGGGAGTGGAAAGCAGCAAAATTTGAAGAAAAAAAGAAGCAAAAGACAATTAAAAGGCATTATTGTTCAATTGAATTGAAAAATAACACAATTTGAACCAAAAACGAAAAAAACTGAAATTCAACTTCCGAAATTCAGATTCCGTTCAAGTTTGAACTGGCGCAGCGGTGTACGTACACCGCAGCGCCTGCTGCTGCTGCTGCTGCTGTTGCGGATTTGCTTCTTCGCAGCTTCAAAGCCACTTTGAAATGCCGCTTCTTTTCTTTTCAAGCGCCTCGAAGCCCCCTCAGCTTGCTGCTGCTGTTGCTGCTGCTGCTGCTGCTGCTGGGGCCTCAACAGACCTCCAAATCTTCCAAATTGCTTCCAGGCTTTTCAACTCTTCAAAACTTTGGCGGATTTTTTGACCTTCAACTTCTACAGACGCAACCAGCTGCCCCGAGTTTTATCTTGTTTCCACGCAGGAGCAGCAGCAGCAGCAGCTGCAGCACCAGCAGCTCCAGCACCAGTAGCTCTAGCAGCAGCTGCTGCAGCAGCTGCAGCACCAGCAGCTGCAGCAGCAGCTGC